TTTCTTGGTGATTATGTAGTATAACACGACACCCTCTCCGATTTCTTCTTCTTTACTTCTTTTTCATTAATCACATGTTGAGAACTTCTTCACATAACCACGATAACCTGATAAATATTTGATCTAGCTGTCAAAAAATTTATCTGATTAATTAAAATTATTGTTTGATGAATTAGTAAGTTATAAGCAATATATTTTTACACATCCATATAGATACACACATACTTGACGTACTTGACGCTGCTTTTTTACTCTTGTCGCATTTTTCCACGCACACACACACACACACACACACACTATTTGTCACGTATACTACGTTTACGCGAGCGTTACTTCTGTATGTACTTATATATGATAATTCCTCCACGTAAAGCGGGGTTTTGTAGTAGTTTATGATAATTCATCCCGCGTAATAAACGAGTAAATTATCGTAAATTACTATACAGAAGTAACGCTCGCGTAAACATAATAACGATCACGACTGTTACTATAATACCTATCTCCGATCCGCTGATATTTCGCGTGGCACTTCGATCCTTGCGTAACGCGACCGAAATTCAGAATTAAAGATTTTATATTTATAATAATGATGAGAGATCACATTAATAATAATATTAACCTCGCGACACGACGCGGGACGATTAACCTCGAGAGCTGTCACATCACGACACACACACGACGCACTACACACACGAGGCTCGCACGAAACTCGCCACACTCCGCGATGACAGTCCCTCACGGGATGAAGCAAGCTACGGCGCGGCAATCAATCGAGATAACCAATCAGCATCGCGGTAAAAAGGCAACAATAAATTCGACTATCGACTTAACACGGCAATTTTAAGATAGGAAAGTGAAAGTATTTACTGTAATTATGTTATTCCTTATAAACAACATACTAAAAAGTTACATATGGATGCATCCAAAACATTTTTTATTATAGAGTAACTCTGGTATTTTTACGCCACGCAGGATTTTACGCCGCAGATGTTAGAAAAAAATAGAAAGAATGAAGTTACTTGCTCGCAATTATTCTTTTATGTGCCTTTATGCCATATTAGTATTGTGTTGTAATTTCAGTTCTTTACTGTTAATATTAACGAAACTGTCGTGATTTGAATTGATTTCTCACCGTATAGTAAGAACGCAAACTTGTGTTACGACCTACGTAAAATAATTACTGTAGGGAATGTAAAAAGTTTAATGGTTATTTCATGATACGTAAGTGTAGAGGGATAGTAAATGACGGAATACAGCAAAATACAAGTGCATAGCTCTTGTATTTTTTGTTTACCTTAATATCTTGTATATCCTTCCTGTGTTTAGGTTATACGGCAAATTAGCATGCGGGATTTAGGCCATAGTACGGATGCTTTGTAAAACTCGAAATCTCTTATGTGTTTTTTTTCCTTCTCTTTTTGGATCGTATAACAATAATAATCTTTAATGCACTTATCGTTCTTCTATTTTCTTTTTAAAATTTTTTAGTTTTATAATTTGTTTATTATTTTTACATTTTAATAAACTTCTTACACACATTTTATAAGTTATTATGACATTTTATTGCTTTATTTATAAACATTATTTGTAACTTTTTATAAGGCTTACATTTTACCCATGAATGTCATATAATCCACTCTTCTAGGATATATGGCAAAAATGCAAGTGTTTCTAAGTTTTTTTATTAAATACAAAAAATCAATATTTCATGTTTCTAGTAGTAGACAGTATAAAGTTTTTATTAGTATAATTCATTTGCCTTAAGCATAGTAAATAGTACTCGATAAATTAAGTTTCCCTTAGCTGTGGCGTATATACCGGAGTTACCCTATTATATGTTTTTGTAAACAGATTGAAATCGAACTGCAAGTAAATTATTCATTATTATCTAACGTCTTTAACGTTCAGCATCGACTCGTTATCTGTTATTAGTTTAGAGAAATTAACAATTTGTTACTTTTTCCCCCTTTCTCTTACATAATATATGTACTATTTGTATTATAAGTACAACTAATAATAAAAGTTTTGATCTTTTTAATTCTAACAATAATATTAATTAATAGTAACAGAAAACATAAATACAGAGTATTTTAAAAGTTAAATATGTAGTAACAGCACTCCAATTCCTTCGAAATTTTCAAATTTTAAACGAATTTGTCGTTCATTATATAATTATATTTAATACACTTAAAATATCACAATGTCGGCAAGTAAGGAAATGATAATTAAAATAATAGTAGTTTATGGATATACATTTATGGACATACATTTATTTCCTATCTCGTCCTCTCCCGCCGCTTTACTTTTTTTCAGCCCTATCAGCATTCTCTCTACCTCTTCCCATCCTATCCCCTCTCCTTTCTCTACTTTTCCCACCGAACCCTGCTTTTCCTCCTCTCCTTCTCTTAACTTTTGCTTGTATTCCGTTCCTTCTAACATCTCCCTTAAGTATTCATCCCACTCCTCTATTGTTATCTCCTTATTAATTTCTACTCTTTTTCTCTTTTCCTTCTTCATTACTTCATACACCTACTTCTCTGTTCTCGCCTCTCTTACCCCTTCCAGCAGATTTCTCTTTTTTTCCTTTTTCCTCTCACACATTTCTTTATACTCCTTCTTTCTTCTCTTATAATCTTCTTTATATTTTCTTCCTCTTTTCTAGTTTCTCAATAACTTTTCTACCTCCTTCCTCTTTTTCCTACAGTCCCCATCCCACCATTCTCCCTTTCCTTCTGCCCCTCTTTTTACTCTTCTCATCCTTTCTTTCATCTTAATTCTTTTTGTCAATTTTTCGATCTCTTTATCTATTGCCCCCCCCCCACCTATTTCTACCTCCTCTGTTCTTCTTCTAAACTCTTCTCTTGCCTCTTCCGACCAGTCCGTATTTTCCACCCACCTCTCTTCCTTCGCTATTGTCCTTCTCCTCTCACCACCACCCTCTTTGTCCACCCGTACTGCTACTGATTGGTGATCCGAATCTACCTCATACCCCACTTCCAATCTTGTCACTCTTTCTCAAACCTTCCTATTCCCTTTCGCGTAATTGATCACTGTTTTCCCTCTTTCTCCTGTAAATTCACCCTCCCTTCTTATCTCCCTCCTTTGTTCCATTCATAATTCCCCACCCTTCCTCTTCAACCCATCTAATCAGTCCTTCTCCCTGCCTATTTATCATTTTATCTTTCGATTTTCTTTTAACTCCCTCTTCTCCATCCTCCAGCGCTCCTTTCTCCCCTATTCTCGCATTGAAATCGCCTCCCACTATCCATCTCTTTTTTCTCCTCCTTCACATATTTTATCTTACACATTATCATAAGTTGCCGCTTACGTAAACTATTGCCAATCTCCATTTCTCCTTATTCCATCTTACTTCTCTAATCATTAAACCCTCTCCCTTTATCCATTCTTCTTCCCCTTCTAACCCCTTTCTGACTCCCATCATTGTCCCACATATTGCTCTTCCTCTTCTTCCAACTCTTTCTTTCTTTACACCCTGTATTCTTCAGTTGAACTCCTTTGGCACGTTATTCTTCATTTTCTCCTGTTCCTCCTATTTCAGCCATGTTTCCACCAACCCCACAACATCCCACTTTTTTATCCTTTCCTAAAACCCTTCCTGTTTTCCTTTCACTCCCGCTACATTCCAAAAGTTTATCTTTAGGCTTCCTTTCTGTTTTTTCTTCTTCTTCTTCCTCCAGCATTCCTTTCTTTCCCCACCCCCCTCTTTTTCCTCTCTTTCACTCTTTTTTACTTTTCCCACTTTGCTCTCTCTGACTCCTTTCCCCCTTTCCCCTCAGCCTCACCACGCTCCCTTTTTTCCTACTCTCCCTCTCCTCCCTCTTCTTTCCGCCCTACTCTCCCATCGTTTTTCCTCCCTTCTCACTATCCTCCCTTTTCATTTTTCCGTCTCCTTCTTTTCTATTCTTTTCCTCTTTCTCTGTTCCTTTTTCTCCCCCCCCCCTCCTTCTTCTTGTTCCTCTTTCTCATTTCCCCTTCCATCTGTCAGGACTTCTTTTTCTTCATCCCAACTCCACCACTCCCCTCTATCCAAATCTTTCCGTACTTTACCCAAGCTCCCCTCCTATTCTTTCTCTCCTTCTCAGCTATCCTCTCCAGGCTCCATTACATTTATCTTTCCTTCAAGGTCATGTCATCCTCTATTCTTTCCATCCTCCCTTTTCACACATTCTTTCTCTGCATTACCTCTCTTTTTCTTACTTTATCTTTTAACCTAACTAAAACCATCTTCTTTTCTTTCCCCGTTTTTCTTCCTACCTCTTTTACCTCCTCTATTCCTCTCTCTAGCCCCATCTCTAGCTATAGCTTCTCTACCGCTTCCTTTAGCCTTCCCTCCTCCACCTCCACCTTTTTCACTACTGCATTGTTCCTCCTTCTGTCTCTCTCTTCTAACAACTCTCTCCACCTTTCTAGCTCTCTTACCTTCGCTTCTATTGCTTTATCTCTTTTTCCTATCTCCCACTTTCCTTCCTCTTCCACTTCTCCCTGCCCTTCCTTTCTCCCATCTCTCCATCTCTTAACTAATATATTTAAATTTATATATTCGTTAACTTCTTTATATACACTACCGCTCATTAATTTCAATATACCCCTATATTTGTTAATTTCTCTGTAAAGGATGAACATGATACATATG